TATTTTCTGTAGCCCATAGAAAGACCCGATTTACATCTGATTGGAGGTTTGCCGTGTCCTCTATGCTGTCCACTCTCATGAAAATCCTAGTGTCATCTACAAAGGATGATACAGTGCTATGGATTGTGTTCTTGTCTATGTCCGATATGAGGATGAGAAAAAGTACTGGAGCAAGAACAGTATCCTGGGTGACTGAGCTCTTCACGGTTGATGGACCGGATTTTATTTTGTTGACTATTACACATTGAGTTCTGTTAGTCAGGAAATTGTAGATCCATCTGCCTATTCTTCTGGTAATTCCTTTTGAACGCATTTTATGTGCAATAACACCATGGTCACATTTATCAAAAGCTTTTGCGAATTCTGTGTAAATTACATCAGCGTTTTGTTAGTCTTCCATGGCATCTAATGCCATGTCATAGTGGTCCAGCAACTGTGACAGGCAAGAGCGCCCTGTTCTGAAACCATGTTGTCCAGGGGATATAGAGATACTGTGATTCCATGTATTTTGTTAACTTACTTCTTAGCACTCAAAGATTTTTATGTGCGATGTTAGTGCTATCGGTCTGTAACTTTTTGCCTCTGCCTTATTTCCTCCTTTATGGAGTGGTGCTATCTCTGCTGTTTTTAGTATGTTAGGGATAACGCCAGTATCTAGGCTTTGTCTGCACACAATGTGGAGGGCCTGCGATAGTGTTTTTTTACAGTTCTTGATGAATATGGAGTTCCAGGAATCCGGGCCTGGTGCAGAGTGCATAGGCATACTGTTTATGGCTTCTTCAAAATCCAGTGGGGATGGGGTGATGTCTGATATATGATTTGATGTTGGTTCATATCCATGAAAAAATCATTTGGGTTATCAACCTTTAGTGGGTTTAATGGCTCGCTGAAAACAGAGTCGTACTGCTTCCTCAGTAACTCGCTCATTTCTTTGTTGTCATCGGTGAAAGTTCCATCTCCCTTTCGCAGGGGCCCGATGCTAGATGTGTTTTTTTATCTTGATTTTGCATAGGAGGGAGCTATCAAGGGAAAGCGCCAAGCCATTAAGACTATTTTGCATAGGAGAAAAAGTAATTCGGATTTCTCTCTATTTCACTAATGGCCTTTTTCGTTTTTTGCCTCTCCTGGGTTTTGTATGATTCTTGTAGTTTTAGCTAAATTGTTTTTATTTCTCTACCTAACCTTCTTCGCCGATCTTAAGATAGGAATCGACTCTCAAGTTGTTCCGCGATTCGTTTTCTTCGCCTATATAGGGAACGACGTTCTCGTTCCAATCTGCATCTCTTCTTCATTTTTCTTAGAGGTATGCGGTTTGAGCATATTTCTAGAGCTACTGAGTATATTTTTTCCAGGCACTGGTTCAGATTTGCATTTTCTAGCTGTTCTTCCCAACTTATTTCTGTGAAGTCTTGGTTTATTTGCTCCCAGTTTATCTTTATTATTAAAGTTGAATTTCCTGAAATCTCCTCCACCGGAAATCTGGACTGGTTTTGAAAGTATATTCCCCATGGTTGTCAGAACTTCAATTAAGTTGTGATCTGAGTAACAGGTATTTGTAATCCTTATGTTCCTGATCAATTCATCATTAATGGTAAAAATGAGGTCCATCGTGTTCTCCTTCCTAGTTGATTCTACTGTTTGCTGGTTTAAGGCAAATCTGTCTCGCATCCGTATCAGGTCATTTGCATGTGCCTGTTCATTTAGGCTACTTCCTGGTATTCTTTCTGATTTAACTGTATTAGCTAGATTCTTCCATTTCAGGTGCCGTAGGTTGAAGTCCCCAAGCAGGATGATGTTCGGGGCTGGATTTGAGGTTTTCCAAGCAGTGCTCTATTTTCATTAGTTGGTCTTTAAACTACTGAGGGTTTGCCTCCGGTGACTTATATACAAGGTCAATAACTACATTTAAGAACTATATTTTGATTATCAGCACTTCCACTATATCGTTTGTGGTGTTTAGCAGCTCAGTACAGATGAGTGTGTCCTTGATGTAGTGGCTGACCCCACCCCCCCCCCCCCCTTTAGCTGGTGTTTCCTGTCACATCTGAATTAAAAGATCGTACTCTGAGATCCATATTTCACCATGATGGTAGTCCTTGGTGTGAGTTTCCGTTAGGGCTGCAAACACTGCATTTGCCTCATGTAGGAGGCCATATATGAATTGCCCTTTGTTAGAATTACGTGTTTTTATACCCTAGATGTTGGCAAATAACAATGATGTTATCGTGTTAGTGGAAGTGCTGGATGCTTTACTTCGTATTAATATCTGAGGCTCTGGTAAGGAGGCCACTGTGTTTGTGTCCTCTTCAACATTTGACCGAGTTGGTGGTAGAGTCTGGACATTTTTAGCCATTCTTCTCCTCCTCTTGCTAAAAAATCATCTTGGTAAATTGTGTTGTGCCTGCTTTCCTCGAGGCGGTTTGTCGGTCTTATTAGCCTGGTCCCTCTTATATGGAAAGCTGGATATTCCATATTGATGCATTCCTAACTAAGTAGTTCTTGCAAAGTTCTGGGTGAAAAAAATCACAGCTTTCGATGCATTTACCTGTACTAAGGAGGATTCTGCACTTTATGGGGTGATCGTACTTACATATTCCATTTATTCTTCCCGATATCCCATGCTTACAGGTACCCCATTTATAATAATAGGTTTCGGACCCTTGTTTTGTTTGTTTACCTTTGCCAGAGACGGCACTCTGCTGTACCCCCGCCCCGACACAGCAATGTGCTGGGGCTATGTATGCTATGTAGCTCACTTCAGAGTCACTAACAACCTATTTCCTCCTACCCTCTACCTTTCCTTGCTATTTACTTTGTGGTGTTTCTTTGCTTGTATGTTGTGACGCACAAGTTCCGCCAGACGGAGACGGGCCTTGATGTGTCCACCATCGCGTTATTGGTGATTATTTTGCCATCCTTGGCTATTGTTCTTGTTCCCTCATGTCCCCCCATTCACAGCTTTTTTTGTGCATATTCTCCTGTTTTTGTTGGATATCCTTCTATCGCAGCTCTAAATGACTCGGTGCTGTCAGCTTCACCTTTCACTCGCTCCCTCAGAAAGGGCCTACAGTATAATCACTATTTTCCGAGTATTTGCAATAGTTTGCGCAATTGGCTCAACACTGATGAGGTTCGGTATACAAGCAGGACAAGACGTATGGACAAGTTTCCTTACACCTGATGCCTGGGGAACATGGCAGCTACTGTTAGTTGCATCCTTGGTAATGTTTGACGATATCTGATGCTGATTTAAACTGTTGTGGTTTAAGATTCAGCTATTTGGAACAATAAGTTCCAAGTAGCACGGGCTAGGGTGAGCCCGTAATTCTTTTACCATGTCGTAGCTCAGTTGATTAAGCCAGCGTCTGGGATTCTCTCGGACGTAGGTTCGAACCATCGTCACGGCCCTTATGGATTTGTTCGTTAGACGATGACTCAGACGGTCCACAATACACCTTACTGGCTTCCTATTCCTTAAGAGATTGTCAAATATAATTCGTGCTTTTAGGATCTCCACCTGTGTTGAAGAAATGAAGCGAACTATCAGGGGAAAGCGCCAAACCATTACGACTATATAGCACTGGGAAGGGGGTCAGAATAAGGATTTGGGATGGGACGTGGGGAAAGAATGGTGCCCAACCACTTGGACGGTCAGGGATTGAACGCCGATCTGCATGGAGCGAGATCGTCGCTCTACCGTCCAGTAAAGCGGATAATTTCTTTAGATTTTTAAGGTAATATGGTGAGGTAACGAGTGTTCCTCACCTCGCTGGCACTCTTATTTACATCCTTTAGTCTACGAATGAACAAGAGGAGAAGTTCGTATTAACTGAGCAGCTCGTCCTACTAAGGTTTCTCACCGTCAAGCAAATGAACTAAAGTGCCTTTATCCAAACCCACCAGAGGACCCAAAACAGAAAACGGGACTGTATGTCAATTTCGCGAGCCGTTATCATTTTCTAGTAAGACGATTTTTGGCCTTCGGGAGTATACGTCAAAACGCAATGATCTACTTGGAGCACAGATTGAACTGAGAACAGGTACCTAGTGTATAATATCTCGGATATTAATACTTTCGAGTGGACATGGTGAGTCCACCACTCCGCGCTTGTCAGCTGAGTGGACAGCGGTTCGGAATCGTAGTCCTGAGGTTCCGGGTTCGATCCCCGGTGGAGGCGGAGACAAATGGGCAAAATGTTTCTTTCACCCTGATGCCCCTGTTACCTAGCAGTAAATAGGTACCTGGGAGTTAGACTACGGGCTGCTTCCCGGGGGATGTGTAGCAAAAAGGAGGCCTGGTCGAGGACCGGGCCGCGGGGACGCTAAAGCCCCGAAATCATCTGAAGATAACAAGATAACCTCCCACCACCATCGAGTGGAATGTGTAAATGTATACATATTTCTGCCCGAAACGCTAAGCGTGTTAGTGGCTTTGCAACAATGTAAAAATACCAATCTTATGTAATCTCACACACACCCATTGTACCTTTTTGTGAATAAATTATTAGTATTAAGTGTTTTACATGTGACTACCTATGTGACTACCTACCTATGTGACTACCTACCTATGTGACTACCTAGCAGTCACAAGCAGAGACCAGTGGAGCAGCTGTGACAGCGGGAACTGTACACAGATGTGATGGAGCCATGTTGTAATCCAGCTCCGTGTGCATTTATTAAGATGGAGCAGATCCAGGTGTAGGTATAATTATCTGAAACTTGTGAATTGATTTCCGTCTGTTTGCGTTGTTTGCTACGAACCTCCTTCACACACACACACACACACACACACACACACACACACACACACACACACACACACACACACACACACACACACACACACACACACCACCACACCACCACACCACCACCACCACCACGTCCATTCCTTCCTGACCATCAACCTCCTCCTCCTGGAGGAGGAAAATCTTGGCTGTGTTTGGATATGTTGATGGCGTAACCTGGGAGGGCGGGCCCAGCTCTTGTGCCCCACGGTGATGTCATCATGCTGCTTGGCTTCCCTGCAACTCATTGTTAGCCAGACAGCCTCACTCTCGCCCCAGCGTGAACGAGCAGAACAATGTGCCGCTTCTGGTAAAAGATGCAGCAGGAGGAGGGAGATTCGACAGTCTCCGCGGTGTAGTGGTAAGACACTCGCCTGGCGTTCCGCGAGCGCTTTGTCATGGGTTCGTATCCTGGCCGGGGAGGATTTACTGGGCGCAAATTCTTAACTGTAGCCTCTGTTTAACTCAACAGTAAAATGTGTACTTGGCTGTAACAACGATTCTTCGCGGCGGGGATCGTATTCCAGGGACCTGCCCGAAACGCTACACGTACTAGTGGCTGTACAAGAATGTAACAACTCTTGTATATATCTCAAAAAAAAAAAAAATAAATAAAGTTGGCAGACGAAGAGGAAGCTGGAGGAAGGAGATGAGAAGTAAGCAGAGAGTGTAGGACGATAAACAGACGCGTCTCTTCGAATAACGAAAGAGTACTGAATGAGATAAATTAATTATTGTAATTTTTCCTTCCAAATGCATCTTCTTATTCCGTCAGTGGTCTCATGATGGAAGGTTGTCATACATAATGTATGATTCAGGTACTGTATTAGTACCTCGATACAAATTCTGTAATTTCCCTGACGCCCAGGTCTGAGTCAGCTATGCAGTACACTGCAGTTTATTCCTAATTTGCCACAACAGAATTTTCTGAGATTCCGAATGACCCAGTTGCTCATTTTTTGCATTTCTTTTGTGGTTTATGCTTTAAAATTGTTGTTGCATCAAGCTTGGCGGAACTGGTTAGATGCAAATCTTCTGTTCAAAATCGTATAATAATTCCTCTGTTATTCGTGCGTTTGTAAATACACCGTACAATGTGTGTTCAAAGCTTCTGGCGTTTTGTTATGGCATTTTATTTTCACATCTCACATTATTATTTAGTTAAGGGGCAGTTATGACTGTCACACTGAGAGATCAGTAAGTTAATAACATCTTGAATAATATTTACCGGCAAACTGTCACCGAGTGTGTTGGGTTGTTAGGAGAAAAACAATTTGAGATTAGTGCTGGGTCCCCAGGGACAGAGCCAGATGAGATTAGTGCTGGGTCCCCAGAGACAGAGCCAGATGAGATTAGTGCTGGGTCCCCAGGCACAGAGCCAGATGAGATTAGTGCTGGGTCCCCAGGCACAGAGCCAGATGAGATTAGTGCTGGGTCCCCAGGGACAGAGCCAGATGAGATTAGTGCTGGGTCCCCAGGCACAGAGCCAGATGAGATTAGTGCTGGGTCCCCAGAGACAGAGCCAGATGAGATTAGTGCTGGGTCCCCAGAGACAGAGCCAGATGAGATTAGTGCTGGGTCCCCAGAGACAGAGCCATATGAGATTAGTGCTGGGTCCCCAGGCACAGAGCCAGATGAGATTAGTACTGGGTCATCAAAAGATTAACATTCTCTGGTGTATAAACTACCCTTCACCACGTGAACTCCCCATGCCTGCAGCCGAGTGGTCACCTCCTGTGGGCCACCTCGATGTCCTTGCTCATGTCGAGACTGTACAACTATTCTAACTTTTAGATGCTCATTATAAATGACCTGATCTAATTTGTATTATTTTTAATATTGCCAACTGCACAATATACAAGCTTGTTAATGACCACTGCGGCACCCACTAGCAAGACTCCTCGAGCTCAAGCCATTACCAACTAAAAAATCATTTTTTTAAAATCGTCTAATTATGAATTCAGGTAATGTAAACAACCACAAAATACATACAAGCGGTTGGGTGAGAACTATGACATGAAAGTAAATATAGAAAATATTATTGGAGGATTTGTGAGACATTCATTGAGGAAGGGTAGGGAACACTGAGGCAACCATTGATGGAGGGTAGGGAACACTGAGGCAACCATTGAGGGAGGGTAGGGAACACTGAGGTAACCATTGAGGGAGGGTAGGGAACACTGAGGCAACCATTGAGGGAGGGTAGGGAACACTGAGGTAACCATTGATGGAGGGTAGGGAACACTGAGGCAACCATTGAGGGAGGGTAGGGAACACTGAGGCAACCATTGAGGGAGGGTAGGGAACACTGAGGCAACCATTGAGGGAGGGTAGGGAACACTGAGACAACCATTGATGGAGGGTAGGGAACACTGAGGTAACCATTGAGGGAGGGTAAGGAACACTGAGGCAACCATTGAGGGAGGGTAGGGAACACTGAGGCAACCATTGAGGGAGGGTAGGGAACACTGAGGCAACCATTGATGGAGGGTAGGGAACACTGAGGTAACCATTGAGGGAGGGTAGGGAACACTGAGGTAACCATTGAGGGAGGGTAGGGAACACTGAGGCAACCATTGATGGAGGGTAGGGAACACTGAGGTAACCATTGATGGAGGGTAGGGAACACTGAGACAACCATTGATGGAGGGTAGGGAATACTGAGGCAACCATTGATGGAGGGTAGTTAACACTGAGGCAAGCATTGATGGAGGGTAGGGAACACTGAGGCAACCATTGATGGAGGGTAGTTAACACTGAGGCAACCATTGATGGAGGGTAGGGAATACTGAGGCAACCATTGAGGGAGGGTAGTTAACACTGAGGCATCCATTGATGGAGGGTAGTGAACACTGAGACAACCATTGATGGAGGGTAGGGAATACTGAGGCAACCATTGATGGAGGGTAGTTAACACTGAGGCAAGCATTGATGGAGGGTAGGGAATACTGAGGCAACCATTGATGGAGGGTAGTTAACACTGAGGCAACCATTGATGGAGGGTAGGGAACACTGAGACAACCATTGATGGAGGGTAGGGAATACTGAGGCAACCATTGATGGAGGGTAGTTAACACTGAGGCAAGCATTGATGGAGGGTAGGGAACACTGAGGCAACCATTGATGGAGGGTAGTTAACACTGAGGCAAGCATTGATGGAGGGTAGGGAACACTGAGGCAACCATTGAGGGAGGGTAGGGAACACTGAGGTAACCATTGATGGAGGGTAGGGAACACTGAGGCAACCATTGATGGAGGGTAGGGAACACTGAGGCAACCATTGAGGGAGGGTAGGGAACACTGAGGTAACCATTGAGGGAGGGTAGGGAACACTGAGGCAACCATTGAGGGAGGGTAGGGAACACTGAGGCAACCATTGAGGGAGGGTAGGGAACACTGAGGTAACCATTGATGGAGGTAGGGAACACTGAGACAACCATTGATGGAGCCGGTCGGCCGAGCGGACAGCACACTGCACTTATGATCCTGTGGTCCCGGAGACGATCCCGGGCGCTGGCCAGAGACAGTAGGCAAAGTTTCTTTCACCCTATGCTCCTGTTACCAAGCAGTAAAATAGGTACCTGGGTGTTAGTCAGCTGTCACGGGCTGCTTCCTGGAGTTGGAGGCCTGGTCGAGGACCGGGCCGCGGGGACACTAAAGCCCTGAAATCATCTCAAGATAACCTTAAGATAACCTAGAGTAGGGAACACTGAGGCAATACAAGAACCCTACACAATACTGAGCATGAAGCCCTCGTCCTCCTAAGGTTTCCCAACGTCAAGAAACTGACGTATTAAAGTGCCCTCGTCCTAACCTACCAGAGGACCCAAAACAGAAAACGGGACAGTATGACAATTTTGCGACCCACTACCATTTTCTTGTACGACAAATATTAGCGTGTGGCTAAGTATACGTCAAAATGCGGCGGTCTATTACGAGGACGGGTTGTATGCCATTCGTGAAGTCATTCGTGAATGAATCCTTAGTCCAGTTCGTCCTCTCGAGCATTCACGACGTACCTTAACTAATATACTAAATGGCCCGGCCCGTCCTCATAAACAAAGGCCAAAGTCCATTCCATGCACCTGCCAACCCCCCCCCCCCCCTCTTTATGAATAAAAAACGGTTTACACGCGACTCACAACTGATGACATCCGAACACTTCCGGAACAAGTGCTTCGCTGACGACTTCTTTTTCGAACCACAACGCTGTAAATGCTTCACCCACGTACTACAAATAATCGCCAATGGAACCTAAATACCTACCCTAATAAATGCCTAAATATGAACAGTATTCTGAATATATTTGAGAAAATTCCTGCTTTGAATGAACAGCATGGTAAAATTGGTGAATGAAGCTTTAGGGTCGCCCGCTGGATGGAATGGACTTGCTCTGAGGACGGGTTGAATAGCCTGAACCTAACCTAACCTAAACCAACCTAATCTAACCTAACCTAATCTAATCTAGGGCCAACGAATAGAAAACGGAACATTGTGTCAATTTTGCCAGCCGCAGTGGGTTTTAGTGAGTGAGTTTTTGGCATTAGGGCTAAAATTAACCGCTCAATGAAGGCAATTATATGCAAATTACATAATGTTCAACTCTCTTTCTTGCTAATAAAGAAGCTTGTATATAAAAATATCCAAGCTCTGAAGAGCTCGCCCAAGCTCTGAAGAGCTCGCCCAAGCTCTGAAGAGCTCACCCAAGCTCTGAAGAGCTCACCCAAGCTCTGAAGAGCTCACCCAAGCTCTGAAGAGCTCACCCAAGCTCTGAAGAGCTCACCCAAGCTCTGAAGAGCTCACCCAAGCTCTGAAGAGCTCACCCAAGCTCTGAAGAGCTCACCCAAGCTCTGAAGAGCTCACCCAAGCTCTGAAGAGCTCACCCATGCTCTGAAAAGCTCACCCATGCTCTGAAGAGCTCACCCAAGCTCTGAAGAGCTCCCCCAAGCTCTGAAGAGCTCACCCAAGCTCTGAAGAGCTCACCCAAGCTCTGAAGAGCTCGCCTAAGATTCCCTGGAGCTCCACGAGTCTGGTTCTTGTGTCAAGAGTTATATACATGGAGAGAAGTACTCCACTTGCTGATGTCTACAAACTCAGGGAAGACTTTACTCCTTGACTATGACTACGTGCAGGTCTAAAGTGTACTTGTTGGTTGGCGAGTACGCCAGTGCCTCAGTCTTATTAACCGTCCTGCGGTTGACAGGTCTTGACCGTCCCGCGGTTGACAGGTCTTGACCATCCCCAAAATATCAAATTGCTGACCCCGCCCAGGATGCAACCCTCACAACAAGCCAACTACCGAGTACCCACCAACTTCTAGGTGAACAGATTCATTAGGTGAAAGGAAATGTACCCAACTATTTCTGTCACGCCCGGAATTCGAACCCGGAATTCTTGATTGTGCGTCGAGAACGAACCCGACTATACTACCTGGTCCCCAAAGATGAATAGTTATTTCTCCTAAAGGGAACTCGTTCTTGCGCTTGGAACACCAGCGAAATAAAAAATTAATATTAAAAATGATATTAAGTGAATTAAATATAATTAATAGACAATCCAAGCTGAATATTTTCCTCTCGACTTACATCTTAGCATTCCAGGACTTCTACGACAATAAATCCCCGACCGTCCAAATGGTTGGGTACCATCCTTACCCTCCTTCCGTCCCAGATCCTTATCCTGAGCCCTTCCAAGTGCTTTATATATATATATATATATATATATATATATATATATATATATATATATATATATATATATATATATATATATATATATATATATATATATATATATATATATATATATATATATAGGGGGGTACCACCACTGGTGCAATTATAGGGACCCACAGCCTCAGAGAAGGGAACACAGAGCACTCAGGGAAAAACTTGACATTTAACTCTGAATACGAAAGAGTGTTCACTTCTCCTACCACCCCCTTTTTTTTTTATTATGATGTACACTTTATTATACAAGGTTATACAGTTACATATCTGATTTTATACAAAAAATGAACATTAAGAGGACACAAGAAAAAGTTCGCTTCCTAGAGGCTGTAGATTTCCTCGAACTCCTCCGACGCCGGGCAGGAACCGAGGATGCAGTGGGCATTTCCCCTCTGGATCGCGACACTGAGGCGCTGAAAGAGAAAACTTGCTGCTCTAGGGTCTCTTGTGGTGTCAATGAGCTTGGAACCAAGATCCTTAAGAAACCTTCTTGCACTCTCATCCCATGGGCCTAGGGTCTCAGACCCTATTGGAACGAAATTGTACCTTTGATCTAATTGCCTGTACTTGACTGACTTTTGTTTTTCTCTGTGTGTCGCTGCGGCTCCTGCCGTGCTGGCAGAGAGGGTGATGTATGTCGTTGCCAGGGTGGATACGCAAGTATAGTCCCATGCTAACTGCCTGCCACCCTTCCACGGACGCAGTGTGATTCCGTCTGGTCAGCCGGCAAAGCTAACAGAGTCACGGTTCAGTAGGTTGCGGGGCTCTCTCTCCGCTGGACACTGAGCAGAGGCAAGGCTTCTTTTAATGATGTCGTTGACTTCGTCGTGTCTAGTGTGCCAACCACCCGATTTTCCACAGTGCAGGCCATGCAATCCATATTCGTCAGCATCTGCCTCGCCGCAAATATACCTGTGAACAGTGTGGATAGGGGCAG